GAAGTTATCGATCGTTCCATTGGACATGTACTTATCCCGCACAGGGAACGAACTGAGCGAATCGGAGTCTTCCTCGTTCTCCATTAGTCCACGACGAGTTGCCCGCACTTTCTGTACATCCTCGAACAAGGCGTCCAGCTCATCGTCAGGCATATGGGAGATTTGATCCGGCCCCAGCACCGCACTGACAGCTTCACGGCGAGCATAAAACCAATCGGATTCCCTACCACGCTGGGAGGGCATCGGGGAATCCGCTCTGCTCGAATCGCCGTCCACCTCCGAGCCTGTTTTACTCAGTGTTCGATCATGGGTTTTATTCGGTGCCGGCGAGCCCAGTTGACTTGTAGTAACGGAATGACGCAGCAAGCTCTGTTCAACTCGTTCAGCACGCGCTTCCTGGGGATGGTTGAAACGGAAGATATGAAAATCACCCAGGATAATGCGGAATCCACTCTTGAGCCGCTTCGGTTTATCGATCCGCAATCCATTCACCATGACTGCTGCGCCTTCGGTGGGAATAATGGTAACAACATTGTCCACGTTCTCAAACCTACAGTGATCGTCCAAGATTTTCGAGCCGTTCAGTCTTATTTCGACATGGCTGCCCTGGTCCATGTTTCCGACTATGGTGGTTCCCGGTTTGATGTTGTAAACGAGACACTCGGCGAGCAGCGGGTCGTCGCTCAGATTGACCAAATGTGGCATTTTCTTCGGCGTACTCAGTCCGATGAAACCTTTCTCGATGCTGATACCAAGTTCCTCCAGAGCAGACTCTCGCTCTTTGTGAATCTCTTCAGTCTTTGCCAACTTCTCCTCCCAAGTTTGATTCAGATCCTTGTAAAGCTTCTCGCTCTGGTTCAACTGTTCGACAATTTCTGCCTTGCTGACTTTCGTAACTGAACCATCCGGCTGTTGTATGGAGACGAGTTGCTTCTCTAGAGGAGTATCTGGAGGGTAATATTCTTCTGCTGGTATAGCGCCAGGAGCGCCGCCTGCTCCAGGACCTGCGGCACCACCCCCAAGTTTCGACCGGAGTTGGGCCAACTCCTCCTTTAACTCTCTGATCATTCGTGCGTTGGGGTCTTCGTTCACAACGGCATGGTTCTTGATTCGCTTCGCCGAGTCTGCATAACGGAGAGTACTGAGAGTCTCCTCGAAGTTGATGTCGGCGGGTGAAATCGCAGCAATCATTGCTGTCATGGAGTTACCTCCCAACGAGTCCTTCAACAACCATGTCAAAATAGAATCACGATACGGAACCATTGATGCGTTCTTCTTTTTGCCAGCCGCCACGTCAGCGAGAGCGGCAATGACACGACCAAGGGTCGACAGCGAACGGTTAATTTCCGCACCCTCCTTCAGTCTCGCACCGGTCGCGCCAGTAGAATTTGCTCTTTCCGAACCTGCAAGATCGACCAAACTAATGCGCGACACCTTCTCCGTATCCATAGACGTTTCCGCATCATGGCGCTTCTGTGTGAGGGTCAACGTAAACACGGCGTGGGAACGACTGGAGGTCTCGTTCATGTTTGTGGCAGCAACCGTTCTAGCCTTGTTACCCTCGTCCATCAAGTTCTCAATCTCCTCAAAAGAGCGCACTACAAGCTTGGCCAGATCCTCGACGTAGGGACCAGTCGACGGATGCTCACGGACTTTAAGGTTGCCCTTATTCGAAGGGTTGAGCAAATCACGGACTCTCTCATTGTAGATTTCAAGATACGAGACTTCCACCGTACAGCCGAGGTTCTTGTCTTGCTGGATTGTGCGAATGCGCTCGAACATATCCTGACAAATTCTCGGAATCACACCGTACTCTTTGCCGTAACCCATCATGGAATACGATTTTCCGGAACCCGTCTGACCGTAGGCGAAGATACAGTTGTTGTAACCCTGGAAGGCATTGTCTAGTAGCGGTACACCCAAGTCGAGGAAGAGGTTATCCTGGCTCGCAAAATTCGGGGCATTTTTGTCGAAAGACCAATACGATCTGTCGAAGGCGAATGACTTTGGTCCTCCATCCCCGCCTTTCCCTCCACCTGCCTTGCGGGCTTTATCATCGGCGCCCGGTGGAGTGGAAAGGACGGTTTGGTTGTCTTTCATTTGAACAATACATTTTGCACCACGGTCGATTTCTAGAATGCGGGAAGAAGACACCGGAGTCAGTCCAGTCTAGGAGTGGGGGGGCTTGGTCGCATTTCCAATGCCACAAGTCACTCACCTCTGCTGTTGAAAGGCCGCACTCTCACCACCACCTTGATATTTCCTCCACCAGCCATGTTTGCTTCCTCCCCATACACCTGGGTCCGATCGCCTGGTTTCGCGTGTTCGAAAGAAGGATCGCAAGGGGGTGAACCGACACCAGCGAAAAAACGCGAGTCGCGAACGCTACGAGGAGCGCCGCTCTATCGGATAGTGCAAGCTGATGTGTTCCTTGTTGGCGGCAGTTGGATCAATGCTAGTTGAAATATTGTAGTAAAGTGTTACTGGCGAATTGACGGTCTGAAACGGATGTCAACAAAGACGTCATGTATATCGGGGGGGGTTCTGCGGGCGGACAATCCGGCGCGTTCTAAAGGGGGAAAATCACGATGATAACGGGAGCGGTGGGAGTTGACGGTCGTCTGTAGCGCAACCAGACCGCTAGAAGATGTTGCCAGGATCGTCTGGGTCGAGCAGAAGGTGAAGGGATTGGAAATGAGGAGGCGGAAGATAGGCCGACTCGGTCGCTCTCGCTCTCTCCTTGCCCCAAGCACGGGGAAAAGCCACATGAGGGATCGAAAGGGCGGGTTCGAGGCGGATCACGTAAGCAGTCCCGTGTCCCATGTCAGCCAATCAGCAGCCCCGGTATTTACTCCGGACTCATCAAGCCTCTTCATGGTCCCTTTCCTGCCACTGAGTGGATGCTCTCTCTCGGTCCTCATTCACCCTGCACGGTTATGCAGGCACACTTTTCTCCATCGGCCTGCTCAAGCTCCTGATTCGCTTCAGAGGACATAAAGTATCTGATCGATCTTGAGATTCAAGAAGCAGTGGCTCTGCAATAGGTCCCCCGGTGACGGTTCTGCAGCAAGCTTCTCCGCCCGGTTCCAGTAATTCCATCCACTAATTAGCAGGGCCAGAGGTTGGTAGTCTAGTACTTCTTAGATAGGATTTGATAGATCCAAACATTAACTCTGGAACATCTCTGCTGGCTATCGTCCTCCTTCGCTACAGATTATATAAGTACGGGGTTACATGCGGGTGCCGGTGCTATAGCCTCTTCCGCTCTCCAGCACAGTCTGCCTCCCCTCGTCCAGAGCCATGGTACACATCCGCTGTCATATAGATAAGAATATGAGCTCGAGAAAAGCCACATTTTCTTGTCTGCCCACCATTCTCACACGGCGAAACAAGGATATTATTGAGCGATCATTTGCTTCCTACATAGAAGCCTCTAGACCAGTCCAGCTCCTAAACCAAAATAACTTCCTCTCCATTTGATTAACCCATCCAAATTCCTTCTCTCACACCCACACAGTAGTTCTAATATCCATCCAGCCAGGCGCGTTTGCATAGCCCATGTTTTAAATAACCCCGCATTATCGAAAGTTCTTCGGGCACCACCCATGTATTATTAATCGGTATAAACTTTCCACGGCTGGAAAACCAAGGGTGGATGGGAGCCCAATCGGCCTATCTGCATACACGAGGAGCAGCTACCCGGAACCCTGCTGACATCGCTTAGTAGTATGGCACAGGCGACCATGAAATTCCCAGTTGATTCCCAGCACTGCCACATCTCTAATCGCACTGTATCTGGGAAGGAAAATCGACGCCCATTTTGGAAGAATAGGATTCTGACTTTAGCTTGGTTTCGTTCGGATGCGTTTGCGTTTGTCTCAGGATGTCACGCGTGAAGCCACGGTTTTGTATGAAGTTCGCATGTCGGGGAACCTAGTTGATTGAGTTTTAGCCTTTCTCTCTCGCCGAGGTTTTGTAGTATGTCGCTGGTTGTTGCGTTCATATAGCATCCCACTATCGCCGATAATAGTCTGCCACAAAACCTCTCTAAAAGGTATTTTGATACTTCTGAGCAATTTATAGCGAGTACCGGACGACGGGATAGCCTAGTATATTGGGTGATGATGGTGGTGGGTAGGTTTTGGTCGAGGACTGCACGAACAACTGGCAGTCTGCGGTGGACCGGAAGATGGACCTGTAAGACATGGCCATGTAGCCAGCGGAAAGTGTCGGTGTCAATCAACTTATGACGAAAGACAGTGTTGGTACCCAATCAGTGCCAGTTCTTTGTTAACGGGTGTACATAGGCCATAGAAAATATGTATCTCATAGGTAGGAAGGTACATTGGTACCTAAGTGCCCAACTGGGAGGGTTTGGGGGATGGGACCACCACGGTCTTACTACTGCCAGTGTACATTAAAAAAGTCTTTCGCTTGTTCCGCAGAAAAAGTGCCGTTAAAGTCTTTTCTTGAATGAGATAAAGTTATCCCAGGCCGGAGTGTCTGTTTTGGAAGATTCCTTGTTACATCGTTGATATGGTTTCTTCTCTTATTTTATCCGCCGGCTGGGCCCAGCAGTAGGAATAGCGACGGAGACTCCCCCGCTCTCTTTTTGACTTCAACGTTAGTGTGTCGTTTATTACTCGTTACTGGCTTGATGTCAAGCCTATAATGTGCGACAGATTTGTGTTCTCCAAGCCGTGGGTACTTTGTCCGTCATACCTGTTGTGCATGGGACGCAAAGAGCGTATACCTATCGAATCTTACCGAGCAATACGCAAAAAAGTGGGAGCCTGCCCTGTTATCAGCAGGTAATCGAGATTGGTGAGTGATTAAATTGTCACGAAGGAATCTGTTTAGTGAGTGAATTAGAGCAATCTGTAATTTCGGGGTTTCCGACAACAGTGTCATGAAATCCGAACGCCAGCTCAGAGAAAATCACGAAATACAGCGCTTAAGGAGGTGGCCGTCCATGTGACAAGAAATTGGCGCACTGGATTTCATCTGATAAACAGATTGCTATCAATTTCCAGGCTGCCTAATGGGTTTCCCAGAAGAGCTGGTGGTGACAGATCGTAACGCAGGAATACGCCCCAAAAGGACCGAGACTGCATGGCCTGGTTTGAATCAAGGCCACGGTAGCCAATTAACGAGGTGCAGTAGCAGCATCCGTCACATTGAGAAATTGCCCTATTGAGGAGCGAGAGGGCGTACGGATGTCTTATTGGGTGCTCGCACTGGACGAGATCTTCCTGTCCATTCCTTTGCCCCTTGCAAAGGCCAGGGCTACCGCTGTTTAACCTGGCCATTCGCTGTGTGATGTTATGACATCGGTCTGATGATAGCAATGTGTAAGGGGCCCTTTGAGTGTTCACAGGCCGTGCTCCTGAGGCCTCCACTGCATACATGAGACAACCTGGGTTGGCGTAAAATTGGTTTCATTCGAGGACTGTAACCGGTATTCAGTCCGCAGATAGCGTCAACTGGTCTAGGCAAGCTCCGTAAGCCACGTCGTCCACTGCGTAGCCGCTGATCTTATGGATGGGACGGCACAGAACGTAAGGTCAGGGGACAACAGCTATCGTAAAGCCCCGCGCTTTGCGACGGACTTTGATACTTACAACCCCGACGCAACCAAAGACCGTGAAGAATCTGCTTCTCCTTGCGTCCCATCTTCGGTTCTTTATTCGATTGATCAGTCGCCGGTCAATGCTGAGAATGCTCTTATACCTCGGAGGACAGCCGAGCAAGCCATATCATGAGATCTGCACATGATTGTCTTGGAGAAGATGTATCCCACGGAGGTAAATGACGTTCACAGACCGTTTGTGAGAGCATGTCGCAGGACATTTCAAAAGGGGTGTAATGCCCTTTAGCTGCTGGCGGAGCACAGGTATGCCCCGTGATCATTATGACAGCAAATTTTCAGTAAAAGTCGATAACCATACCTTCTTGGCTTGTTTTTCCAAACAACCCGTTTGTATTGTCATGGATGAAGTGCGCTTGCAACCCACCCCTGTTGTTGTGTTGGTTAATCTGCTTCTCCATAGTTGATCATGGCGCATACGTGAGTATAGGGGCCCCGAATGCTACCCTAGGTCTCTCAAGCTCTGGACACTCCCACATATCCTAGAACCAAAGTGGCAAGGTGCTCTTGGCTGCCAGGAGAATGAGCTTCAAGTACGGATCAGTAAGCTTGTAGTAGTGATTGACCGAGTCTATGTCACTTGAGATCGTTAGCTGTCACATCAAGCGCCTCCGGGTTGAATGATACTGCTAGAAAAGTCTGGATTAAAGGTCATACATATTACTGGTGCACTTAGTGCAACACTGGGTTCACTCGCATGGGGTTGCAATAGGAATTATGTGGAAGGCAATTTCCAGCCACGAAGAAAATCGGTCGATATCGGTCTTCATGCGTTCTTTAACTGCAAGCCATATAGTCACCTAAGTTGGAAAGTAAAGTAGGAGGCCAGAAGAGATGAGACAAACGAGCTATACTTACTCCGTAGGAGCAGGAACTCGAAAGCAACGCTTACCAGGTTGGACGATGTACACATCAAAAGGCAGCCGCCTAGTTGTTCACTGAGAGAGGTTAGCTTGTAGCACATAACAATTGATGATAGGATATATTGCTTGAAGCGTGTTCATCACACGGAAGACATATAAGTTACCATAAGGATGCCCCATCATCGAGGGGAGGCAAGCGAGTTCATTCGTAGATGAATATGTAGATAGAGGTTCCCGGTGGAATGGTTAGTGGGACCTTTACAAAGCCTCGGCGCCTGTTAGTGCCTTAGGCTGTGACATGGTACTTCCACGGACCGCACTGCCTTCCGATACAACTACAATTTTACGGAAAATCTGAAAGAGAATTGACACAAGAAATACGTAATTGGTCATTTAGAAAAGTATAGATCAGGCTAAAACAACGTCTCTGAGCGACAGAGACAAGGATATCCTCCTAGATCAGATCGCCGACGCATTCCTATAACATTGCACATCAAAACGAGCCTGCCGGAGGGGGATAGAAAATAAAAGAATTTCTGAATTCATACTGAAATGTCGACGAGGAGCGGTGTGGCGGGGAAAGGCTAGTTGACTTTGACGTCAGATGGCTCGAGCTTCCCCCATGACAGTCAGTGCTGAGAGAGTTCGACCGACCCAAATTACGGACGTTCCATATACATGCCGTAATCGCGTTTCCGTTCACGTATGTTTGTACGGACCGCATACGCGATGGGCTGTATTTAGATACGCCGGTACTTGCCGCCTTCCGCGCAGTCCATTCAGGTGAGAAGAGCAAGAGAACCTAGCAAAACAAGACAATTGGAGGTTATTGTTGCTGCTATATAACCTGCCAATCTGAGGAACCTGCTCCTCTGGGTTTAAAAGAATTTCATAAGGTCTATTGTGATGGTTTAGTTGAGGCAAGATCATGAAAGTGCACAGATAAATTGTGAGACTGATGAGTCTCCATCCGAAGACCCAAGCGGTCAAGCTTCCAACACGTGGAGTGGAACAGATCGACGCCCAATCTGCTTTGCCATCGTGCCGGTCAGTCTTCAAGAAGGGAACCCATTCTGATAGTAGACTACTCTATAGATCCTCCTTTCGCTTAGATCTGTACGTACTTCTTGACAGCCATTATGACTGTGGGATGGATAAGAAGTCCGTATCTCGGAAGAAGAAAGAGAGACTTTCGTCATGGCTACGACACGTGCAAGGCCCTTGGTCTTAGTAGCGTCTATAAGGCTTTTCTTGTGCAACATGCAACTTATGACTTAGATAATACCATGGTAATTTTATTCAATCTAATCTACTGTGACGGTCAAATACCATTTCGCCTGCCTTTCTCTCGTCAAATTAAGTAGACTCAATGGCTTAGTCCCTCGAATTCACCTTAAATATACTGGGACATGGATACCAGTTCACTACAACCCGAAAAAAGAAAACAGGCGGCTTAATCCGCAGTATTCAATCTGCGGTAGGCTACTCGTACATCTGGGTAATATACCATTTTCACTGTGTAAATCTAATAACGCTAATACTTGATGAGAGGTCTCTGTAAGTCACTTGACCTCAGAAACACTACGAAGAGGGATGCTAGTGTCGCTTCATTAATTTCCCAGCTTTTGTATTAGTTCAACATTTGTAGTAAACAGCTGAGGTTTAGTAGTACTATATCAGTAGCCAAGAGATTTGCACAATGGTAGTAAGTAGTGAGGGATGTCGGATACGATGATAAATATATATATCGAGTCATCCTACTACATTAATTGATGCTTTATTTAGTAGTCCCGCTAAAAGTATATATAGTCCACATAGGTCGCAATCTCGGGAAATGAATTATAGGTGGCTAATCTTCTTCTGCAAGATGGGCAGACTGGCCACTGTGACTTTATTCCATTTACAAATTATGCAGAGAAGCATTAACAATTACTGTGTTGAGTCGAAGACATCAATGTCGCTCATTTCATACCGGCTGATATTTGCCCGCTATCTACCTGCCACAAGGGAAATGGAGATTCCCAGGGAGTCTTACCTAGATTGGTCATATAACCGAGGCTGGCCGTGGCTTCGATTGACTCCGCTGACGTTTGGGGGTATTCAACGCGTACGTAAGAAAAGCAAGAATCGAGCCGCGCTTCCTGCGTAGAACAACAATGTGATCCCATGGCAAGAAACTGCATTGTGCATTAGTAAAGTGTCAGTCAGTGTGATAGCACGGCGCTTGTCTTCCTTCCTTTTCTTTTCTTTTTCTTTTTAATTTTAAATTTCATCTTAAAACTTTTTTTTTTTGTTTTATTTATTATATTTTATATTATTATTATTTCTTCCAATCCTACCTGTCTACTTCATTCAGCCCGTTCCCTGTTTTTGTTTTTTATGCTTCGCGTCTCGAGGTGGCATCTGCGTTTGTTGCGCATTGAGCCGTTTCACCTTATTCTTTCGTTTTCTACTCCGTAAGGCCGAGCACAAAAATCCGCGTAAGAAGAACAGCCTTTCTTACTGCTTTTCCCGTCCAGGGTGGGGGGGGAACAACAACGCAAGTAGGAGAAAAAGTAAGAATAGAAGAAATGATGAAAGACAGCGATTGCAAATCGAAGCCAGTCACATAAGCCATCTGGTTAATGTAAAAGCATGATTCGCAAAACAAAACCAAAGAAAGCCCAGCTGGACCAATGGGGGGTGGCTGGTCGAGCTGACCTTGGGTCATACAGGTTTTATTCCCGAGGGCGATTCGCCAGATTTGGGTTGCACATGATGAACATCACGAATTCGGGATGGCCGGATGCTTTGCATAGTAAGTAGTTATGATGGGTGGTTAGCTTAGATAAGAAATGATTATTTTTTTTTTTTTTAATTATATTTATTTTTTTACTTTAATTTTTTATTATTTATTTTCGGGGTTTAGATGTAATTTTAAGAACACGGGTGAGAATTGAGGGTGAGATGTGATACTCTTACTCAACCCATTGTCAATTTCCCCCAAACGAGTTGGGAAATTGGAGAAAGAGAGAGAGAAAGAGAGGGAAGGGGGAGGGGATGGGGGGTGAGGGAATAGTGGAGGTTGGTTTTGTGATAGAGAGTGAAGAACCGAGATTGAGCAAGCTGGGCCCGGCGGCACGGAGAGACAGAGAGAGAAAAGAACTAAGTCCTCGACCCCAAAGTTTCCCGGCCATCCACCACCATCCACCATCCCATCATCATCTCACCTTGTAAAAAAAGGCTGGTACTCAAGGAAAAAAAAAGATGTGGAAAGATACCATACAAGACGTATGATACAATGACCATACAAGACGGGAGTAAAATACACGCCATACCCAATAGGGCAAAGAGCGCAGACGCTAAGTGGAGCGAACCCTGGGGTCGATACCGGACAGTATGGTCGTGGCCTTTGTTGGTCTGAATCCTCGCCGCCTTGTCCGCTAACGAGCTGCCGAGCCACTCAGCTACCCTCTGAGCGCGTCCGGTACAAATGCCCCATCGCTCGCCCCTTCTTCTCGCTGCGGCTTTCTCTCTCTGCTCCCTCTCGTTGGTCATCCAACCTCTCCAGTCCTTGCGTGCCCTCCAGTCAACAACGTCGGACTGTCCTGGCTGCGCAGAGCCCATTGGTTTCCTCCCAATTTGTTTTTTTTCCTACTCGCTGCTTGCTTGGGCTGGCTTCAGATTAACCCGTCTGCTCTTGTCCAACCCAATCACTGCCCGCCTTTCCCTTCCTTCCCACCCCATCCGCTTCACTCTCGTGATTGATCATTTTCCATCCTCCCTTTCTGTCATTACCACGGTTGTGGTCGAATCATCATCTAAGGTACGTTTTTAGCCATCTTATACTATCTACTACCTACTGCTGCTTCTGCTGCCCCTTGCTCAACTTTGTATTTTTTCCTATTTTGTGATTGCATACTTTATTTTGACGCGCGCCCAATCATTTGTATTCTTTGTTGTACCGAGGCCGGATCTTCACAATTCATTGGAGGTTCTCCCTCCCTCACTCACTCTCTTCTTTCCCACCCCCGCTCCATCAGTTGTCTGTTACTTCCATTGTTTGTCTGGTGCATCTGCTTTCTGCTGTCCAAACATCTAGTAGCTATGACCATAAGCTACAGCCCTCTCCACTGATTCTAGTCTATTTTTGGTCTTTTGTATTATTCCTTTTGAATTCTTTGCTTTGTTCTCCGAACCACTCCACTTTTTGATTTTATTTTTAAGTTCCCGTTTATTCTATTCGCTCTATTTCTGTGGTTTATTCTTATGCATACGCCCTTCTGTTTTCCATATACCCATATACCCCTCCATCATTGTGTTTTTATCATTTCCCATTTGGTTTTGCCGCTTCGGTCGCGGATCAACCCGGGCCGGACTGACATCAGCGGCAGCCTACCGTGCGGTGAAAGAAACGGACCTTCCCTTTTGCCTGTCCGCCTTTCTCTCGTTGGCAGAGCTTCGTCGCGTTGCCATCGCCCCGCGAATCATCACAGGTTCCTTCCTTCCCTCGTGACTGAAAGCCCTCGTCAAATCATTACAACGAGTCGCCTTTCTGTGTTGCTCTGCATTGGAGGCTTTTCTGCCACCTGCGGAGAATAACCCTTGATAAAGGTAATTAACCTTTTCAAACCACGAGGCAAGCCCGCCTGTTGTTGTTCTTGGCTCCCTCTCTGGCCGCGGCCCGCAAACCGCGACAGCGCTGTGATTCCCTACTGCCCACCCTCCTGCTGCTCCTTTCCCCCCCCAAAAGTTATGGCTGGCGTTACCCACCCTCAAAAGCAAATCAAACCATTGGATTTAGTGTCGCATGTACTCTAAGTACTGCACGCAAGACCCTCTGCGACTCCTCCTATCATCCCCGGTCCCTGTGAGCTTCTGCTATGGCTTATGCATTGTTATGTTTTCTTGTCGCGTTTCAGTTGCAACCCCGACTCCCCGCCCCATGATGGCCCAATCATCACGCGTCAATCCTTGCCTTTGCCCTTCTCTGACAGCTATCTAACACCATGACCTGTCAATAGGCGCGCATCCGATTTTCTACGGTCGGAGACTGCAGAATAGCTCCTCCGTCACGGCTGTTTGATTTCCTGTTTTCAAGTGCCGTTTTTGCGCGCGCGCGCAAAACTCCGCCTACCCTTGTTTGGGGTCGCGAGTGCGTCGCTTTTGAACAAGGTATGTTGCCGGCTGCATCATGATTCCACTTGCCAACGCATACATCCTTCAGCCCTGAAAAGACTAAACCGCCACGATGTTTACCCCCCTCCTACGTTACCCCCCACCACCATCAAATTGACAGTTCCTACCCCCTTCCCCCCCCTCTCTCCTCCAATCGTGACAGCGCACAAATCAGGAGCCGAAAGTTTCGGGATGGTGGGAAAGATAGATGCTAATAGTCTTTTGTAGTCCACTGAGCCGTGCAAGCCCCTCTCAGGCGTACCCTGACGACAGCGTCGAGTGGCATTATAGTTCGGGAGACCGCGGACCAGGATAATTCCAAACTCCCGGGCCCAGGCGAACTAACTCACCAGGTTGCTCTAGCACCGCCTCATACGAACGTGGCCAAGCAGCCTGACGAATTTAGGAACTGAGCAGCATTACCCAGGTAGCCTGCCAGTTGTCGTCTCCTTATACTGCGTAGTCTTGGTGTCTGTGATAGACTTGAGCGCCATTATCAAGAAGATCGCGCTTTGTCTGACAACGCATCAAGTGCGACATCTTGTCGAGGACATCCTGGTTCCCTGCATCGAAGCCCAACCACGTTACACTTGGAGGCGGACGTAAGATTTCCACAAAAAGACGCAGAACCTCCGGAAAAAGCGGGCTGAAGCATTTCGGCAAACAAGCGTTCACCTTTGGGCGAATTTTCTTGACGCCAGAAGTTGATGAGTAGGTGTATTGGCAAAACAAAAACAGAGGTACGCGCCCCCGGTGTAAGCGCCCTTCCTCTGTTCCCATCCAACCCCCACCCGCAATCCAGTGACCGTTTGGCGCTGCGCTCCATGCTGACACTATGAACCAGAGCCTGCAGACTTTCGCAGTTCACTCGTCGAATCAGTAAACAACCGCCTTTCCTTTGTGCACGACGGTGATATTGTCAAGTGCAACTGTGTTGTTGACAACCTATCATTCTCCCTTATTTTCGCCACTTCGGTCTCAGACGAGTGAAATCCCTTGGGATTGGCCCATCTTTGGCCGTATTATTGGTCCTAGACTCCTGGTTCCTGACAGCCAGGGTACTCCAATCACGACTCTAATTGGAAGCCTGACGGTAAACCCCGTCGCAGCTCCATGATGGAATACCCGCCGCAGTATCAACAGCCTCATGGCCAGCATCCCCACGCCTCTTCCCACATCACTGCCCCGTATCAGACGGCTCCTCAAAATGCTGGGTCCACGGTGGGGTCGATGACTTCTCCCACCAACCCTCAAGCGCACATGCAACAAGCTCACGCTACACATCAAGCGTCACCAATTGTTCCCTCACAATCTCATTATCAGCCTGCACAAAATGCCCCGGGCTCTGTACATCAGCAAATGAACTTCCCTCAGTCGTATGGAGTCACCACGGCGATGCCACAAACGTATGGTATCTCCCCTACGCAAGCGGCCGCAATGGCCACCGCTGCAGCATCGGGCCAATTCTATCCTCTACATCAAGATTCGATGGCTGGCCAAATGGCTCCTGGTCCCCGCGGATCGCCGCGCATGGCTGGGGTGCAGGTCAAGAGTGACCGCAATCCTCGTTCTCCACCCCAGATTCCTGGCCAGATGCCATCGATGGGATCCCAGGTACAGGTGTCCCAGAACGCCCAGATGCAGCAACGTCGCATGAGCCATGTCAGTAGCCCACATGTTCAGAATGCCCAACCACTTATCAACCATGCCGGCCGGCCTTCGGTGCCCCCATCTATGCCGCCACCACCTCAGCCGCCTGTCCAGCAGAGCCAACCTTCGCCGGATATGGTCGCTGGCGCCGCTGAGGAATCGCCGTTATACGTGAACGCGAAGCAGTTTCATCGCATCCTGAAACGACGAGTGGCTCGCCAAAAACTGGAGGAGCAATTGCGGCTCACGTCCAAGGGCCGTAAGCCATATCTGCACGAATCGCGTCACAACCATGCCATGCGCCGCCCTCGTGGTCCGGGCGGGCGATTCTTAACGGCTGACGAAGTGGCTGCTATGGAGAAGAAGCAAGCATCCGGATCTACGACCTCTGGGCTTGAAGCCGCTGATGATAATGCGGTGAAACCTCCTGGCGATAACCCGCCTTCTGCACAGAAACGAAAATCAAGTGATGTCAACGATGACACCATCAACTCGTCTAAAAAGACGAAAACCAGTGCGAAACCGAGCACTAGTGCGGACGAAAGCGAGAACGAATCTGCTGAGCTGTCCGACGAGGATGGTTGAGCGGTACCTTACTCCAGGATCGTCTTGCGAAAATCCTGCTTACCCACAATAGCCCTTTATGATGGATGGATGTCTGGAATTTCTTTTACCCCCGTCTTCCTTGACCTTTACTCCCCGCAGCGAGCGACGCGCAACTGCCCCATCTTCTCTCGTACTTATTGACGTCATTCCCACCTCCCTCTGGTTTCGTCGGAAACGCCTCGTTTCATCCGTTTGAAACTTTTATGTCTGTTTATATTGTTATGCTGGCACGAAGTATTATTACTATTTTCCTATTTCCTTTCATCTAACGATGTTCAGCCTGCTAGGATTGCATGTATGAGATGATTATGTTTTGTTATTTTCTTTTTCATTTCTCGGGATGGTGCACGATTCTCAAACTCATGAATTGTTACGTTCGTCCCACTGTCGATGCTGCATGACCCGGTCTCTAATACCTGAAGGTCGTGGTTTTCACAGCTGGCGGCAGCCTTCTTATATGTCTTCTCGTCAAGCTCCCTTGTCGACAAGCAACTCAATGTCATTGGCAACTTTGGTGTACTGTGTCTCTTCTTCCCCTGTGCCTGAGTCCGCCGCTTTGATCCGGATCCGTTCTTTTGCGTCGTGCTTCGGGCCTTGGTTGGTATTAGATTGAAGCCCATCGCTGGTAAAATTAAACCCCGAGGTTGGGTGGCGCGGCGACAGAGCCTACATCCCTTGGCGGTGCGTGGTGCATGCATGTCTTGGTTCGGTGTCGCGTATTTGCCCAGCAAAAGTCGAAACACTGGGCACTGTCCGACGGTCGCCTTTCTCTGGGAATTTGTTTGGAAATGGAACGTTCCCGACTGGAGAATTCGACGACGGTCTTCATTCCGTGCATTTCATGGAACGCCCCGATTGACTGTTTGTGCCATTGGGGTAGTGCATGAATGTGACTCGGGATCTTTCCGTCTTCGGTGCGGCTGCGAGGCCCCATGCGATGCCACTCTCTTTGAATCTGCATCGACGAGTGTGGTCTGACATGCGAGGCTGTGGTGGTCTTGGGCTGTCACAGCCGATGCTTGTTTTCCTCCTGCCCTTCTCTGTTGCCCCCTTTGATGCCTCGTTTGATATATTACCCTGATCTTCTACGGATGATTCCCCTACTAGTCGTGTACAAATATCAAGACATACTTGGCGAACTCGTTCTTAGTCGTGCTTGCCTTGTTCTCGTGGCCTGACCTTAGAGCAGGTCCCTACGGTGTGAGTGCTTTGAGTAGAACAGAGTTAGCAGGCCGCGAGTCTTCACTTTGCCTCGGATGAAGTAAGAGGGGAGTGAAATTGGTATAGTGAATTCCGAGATAGATGATGCTGACGGATGTGCACTGTATTCATCGTAAGGCAGGCTTCGTATTGCTCCTCTTCTCAATCCTGCTCCCCCAGATCCATGCTGGTTCGATCTTCCCCTTTCTCCCAGTTTGGTGGTTCAATCTATAGCTGCGACTGAGCCGATAGCTTCCCTCGTCTCTATTTGCCACCCGTTGTTGGCATGATTTTACCAGCATCAGATTGCTAAAGAATCTGATTACCCTGAAACTCAGGGATCCGAGATGCCAGGTGAGTGAGATGACTTTCTTTCAATTTCCTGCTATAAGCCTGGTTTAGGGGGAATGAGAGACGAGGCGTACATACCGTTTTATGAATGTATCTCCATGTTATTTATTGATTTGACGAAGCGGCGACCAAAAGGCAACCCGGGGGCGCTATGCCCGGTCGGGACTAGGCGGGACTCCCTTCTCCGGCGCTCCAGCCTCACTCCCCAATCCTGTCTCTCTCCTTCGCTGCTTTCCCTTCCCTCTCGCCTTCTCTCCTCCTTCCCTTCTTCTTCTTCTCTCTCTCTCTCTCATCTCCCTCTGACTCCCTCACAAAACTTCCTTTTATATATCATCACGCCTTGCCCGGTGATTAGTCCCGGTCTGTTGCGATTTCCGTCTATATCGTCTGATCTGCTCAGCTCGGATTGGACTTAGTACTCCGTCCATCATCTTCGCATCTCGTTGGATCTCCAATTCTCTCCTCTTAAGGCTTCTCTTGTAGGTCGCCTGCCTTGCCATTCAATCCTCTCTCTCATTCTCTCTCTTCTCTCTCTATTGTGTTCAGTCAATTCCATTGCAGCGCCCTTTTCTCTCATCGTCCCCTTGCCCCTGCTCAATTATCTCAGTCCAACCTTCCCCTGTCATCCATCCAATTCACTTGGATCCGCGCCTCACTTGTGCTTCGTCCCGTCTCTTTTTCTTTACTCAAAACCTCATCTTGGACTCCCTCCTTTTATCGTCGCGCCATTATTGGCTCGCACCACACTCCGTACTGATTGATCAACTACTCTCTATTGTCTACCTTGTGCCCTCTCTTTTCTCTCGTCTTCTCTTGGCCCTCGCGAGCGCACTTGCGTTTCATCTTCTCAGTTTCCGGGTTCGCCCTTGTCATCGTTATCCAGAATCATGCCTTGTCTATCTCTTCCATGGCCGGCCCCCGGCAACCAGCTTCATTTGCATCTTCTTCTTGCCCAACTCGCCCCCTAACTCTGCTTCGTCAACGTCCAACCCACCCGGCACTTTTGCACACGTGAAGGACTTGCTCTAATGTTGATCATTTCGGATCTTAGCTTACGCCTTCTGTCCTTACCGTCCTGGGCGCGACCCACGGCCATTGTCTGGTAGCCGGCTCCGATTCTCTCCGTTACGACCTACAAGAGCTCCGGTCGACGCGATTTTACATAACCTCGTCCCCATGGACTCATATGAGAGTTACGGGTCCCCCGGCAGGAGCCGGGAAGCTGGCGATCCCTATGCTTCTAGGGTCCCAGTGGACTCATACCGTCGCAGGTCACCTGGTAAGTTTTTAGCTCCTAGACTACCATCCGGATGCTCTCGGTCTGGTCATGGCCATGCAATCTAACCACTGGTACGTACGCAGTATCTCAGGATCGACGCCGAGCACGCGGTCGTTCTCGCTCACCCGTTATGATCGACCGCTACGAACCTTCTGATCGCCGTGCCTCGCGAGACGACTATTATGCTGCCTCTCGGGAGCATGCCGGGCGTGACCGCGAGGACCGTCGCCGTGCGCCTTCGCCGAACGTTGCCAACATCGACCGCTATGTCCCAGGACAAGATTCTGTCAAGCGCCCTCTTCCCACCAATCCGCTTCCGAACCCTTTAACCCTGGAGTTTCAAGTGGGGTTCAATTGGTTTGCCGAATGGTGGCGCGCGGAGCAGTCGATCAAAGAAGAAAAGGAACGCGCCAAGCACGGCGGTCGGCGTCCTTCTGATCGCGTCAAGGGGGAGCGGGAGGCTCGTGAAGACCGGGAAAGAGAGAGAGCACAGATCCAGGCGGCTTACGATTCATACAAGGTGAACCTTCAAGCGAAGATGGCCCGTGCTTTCGTCCAGCATCATCGAAACGAGGAGTGGTTCAGAGAGCGCTACGTTCCTGAGGTCAGGGACCCTCTTCGTCGTCAACTGATGGATTTCCGCATGGGCGCCTATCAACAATGGGAGAGAGACCTCGAGAGTGGTCTCTTTGATGAGTTCACGCTTGAAGGCATTTACAAGAGTGAAAGTGACGGGGCAGGCGGTGTCATTGAAAAGGAAGAGGGCGAAACCACCGCGGTTGGTGAAACCCTGGGTGTTCTGGACTTGCTCCCAGCAAGAGGCGGTGACTTGCGTGACGAAGCTCTGTCTCAGTCTGCCCTCTTGATCAAGACTCTAGCGCCCAATGTTAGCCGCGAGAAGATCGAAGAGTTCTGTAAGGAGCATTTGGGTGAGGAAGATGGTGGATTCAAGTGGCTTAGTCTCAGTGACCCCAATCCGTCGAAGAAGTACCATCGGATGGGATGGATCATGCTCCATCCTGCGCCTGACGTCGAGGTCGTCGAGAGGGGGGATGGAAGGGAGGAAGAGGGTGAGGAAATGGAACATGATCACGCGGCCAATGGATCGGGGACACAGACTGCTGCCGAGAAGGCGCTTGAAGCAATCAACGACAAAACGATCCATGATCCTGTTCATGGTGACTTTGTCTGCCACGTGGGTGTTCATGTCCCGCCGTCGCAACCCCGTAAGAAAGCCTTGTGGGATCTCTTTTCGTCGCCAGAGCGGATTTCACGAGACCTGGAGCTGGCAAGGAGACTGGTGTCGAAGCTCGATGATGAGATGGGAGCAGGTGCTGACGGGTTCTCCAAAATCGAAGAGCGAGTCGAGGAATTGCGCGGCAAAGGCTGGCTTCAGCCGCCTGTCACGGGGCCTGTCAGTGTCAAAAAGAGAAAGCCCGACTACGATGCCGATGATATTGATGAAGGCGAGGCAGAAGAGGGCGAAGAACAGGAAGGATGGGAAGACGACGAACTCGATGATGAGGAGCTCTTGGCCAAGAAGAAGAAGTTGGATCTGATGGTTGAATACCTTCGCCGGGTCTACAATTTCTGTTTCTTCTGTGTCTTTGAGAGTGACTCTGTGCATGAGCTTGCTCGTAAATGCCCTGGTGGACATCTCCGTCGACCCCGGGCCGGTCTCACGACACAGTCGAAGGCTGTGGCCCGGGCTAGCGCTCTTGGGCAGCCGTTCCCTGTCAAAAAGAAGGAACCTAGTGAAGAGGGCGAGGAGCAGCCGCCTGTATCGGAGGAGAAGCGGCCACAGCGTTTCAGCTCCAAGACCGAACAACAGCTTCAGCGTGCATTCAACTGGGTCAAGACATTCGAGGACAAACTTTTGCAGATCCTTGAGCCAGAGAATGTCGATATCGGGAAGCTGGGTGGCAAGCCCGTTGAAGACGCCTTGGAGGAAGAGCTCGCAAAGTATATGAAGCAGGAGGATGAGTCCAAGTATCGCTGCAAAGTCCCTGAATGCACCAAGCTGTTCAAGGCGGAGCATTTCTGGCGTAAGCATGTCGAAAAGCGTCATACCGAATGGTTTGAGAACATTCGCAGTGATGTAAGTGATACTCCTGTAACGTGTTCCGTGCGGACGAATACTCATGATGATACAGCTCGCTCTGGTCAATGCCTACGTTCTCGACCCTGCGCGGATTGCTCCTTCGCGGTCCGACGCTAATAGTAACGGGCATTTCCCTCTTAACTCTGGTCAAGGCCAGACCGGTACACCACGTGGTTTCAGCCTAGCGTCAATGCCGCCTTACCTTGCAGGCAGCGGAAATGTCCCCCCAAGCTTCCAGAGTGTGCCAGGGTCGGGAGTACCCGGATTTATGGGTGTTAATAACCCCTCGTGGAGTGGTAATGGAATGGTATCTGCAGACGGCCCAGGTTTGCATCAACCAGGCGTCATGCGCCGTGGCGGCGGGCGTTATAATAACCGATCAGGTCCTTATGACAGACGTGGCAATCGGCATGGCGCCCCAGGCACTGGAAGCGGCCGTCTGAGCCCCGTCCGTGGCATGTCCAGCATGTATGGATCTGGTGGTCGCCTGCCGGCCAGTTCTGGACCGCCATACATTCCCCCTGGACATCCTGCCGCCGCCTTGGTGGGAGCCAGCGGCTTTGTCGACGCCGGTGCCGGTCAGCAAGGCATGGGCCCGCGCGAAGCCGTACAAGGTCGCAGCCTCAAGAGCTACGAGGATCTCGATGCGGTCGGTGGCTCTGGCAGCGGAGAATTGAACTATTAGACATCTATAACAGAAATTTCCTCCGTGCAAATGGCGTTCACTGGTCTGTCGTTCCTGCATTTTCACAAAGCCAGTTACATACTTGATGTCTCACCGCATATGCCGTGCATTGATCCGTGTCTGTCATACTTCATCTTTTTCGTACATGAGCCGAAATTGTCTCCTATCAATTTCCAATTTCTTTGGTTCTTCCTTCTCCTTTAACCGTTCTTATCGACGCTTCTCGTCTATCCAAACGTGAAACATGAGCTCGGCTGAGATTGTGCCTAATTTTCTTTTATCTACAGAATATGGCGTGTTTCCTTGTGCCCTCATGCGGCCACGAGTTGGCTCTGTGACTGCTACTTAACTATTTCCGGGATGCCGAAACAGCTGCATGCTCTTTTCTCTCGTTAGCTTCCTTCGTTTCGTTTTCTGGTCTTGGCGTCCCTCGGATTGTACCATAGTATCTATCTTATCTATCAGCTCGATATTTTCGTACCATAAGCTCAATGACATATGGCCAGTTACACGCATTCTTTGTCTTTCTCAGCGCATTGGACTGATGTATCCTACCTTCGATGAAGCGAATGGGCTTTTATCTATATTCGCAAAAGTAGTAGCCATTAATTAGTACTCTTACGATTTCTATAGAAGTACTGCTCCGCGTGAAATTATAAGTAGTACTATACAGAATGACAGGTCCATATACAGCAGTAATTTTGAAAGAGTATGTACATATCCAGTGCATCGCTGATGCTCCATGAGTATAGTAGTATTATTTATACACTACGAAGAGAAACCCCCCAAAGGTATTGGGGGATAGCATCCACCCATCATGATTCCTACGGCATCTGAATCACGACATCATCTGCACTATCACGCCACTGCAGTCCCATCCTGCGAACGCGCCGCTCACTCGCCAGGAATAAGAGAAGGTATATATGAGAAGCTATCTCGCCCCATGCGTAGACCTTCAGGGTTACTGGTCTTGTTGGTTTCTCCACCCCACCATCTTCGAGTCCATTCTGAGGCGACGACGCAGATTTATCTGAGCCATCATCCTCCAGAATGCACCAGACACCCCAGCCAGCGCGGCCTTCTTTGGCGATGAAATCCGTTAGGAAGGTCCAGAAGCGCGTGAAGAGTGGCATGTCCCAGGTGGTGCTGGAGGGTGGCTTTGGGTTTAGGGTGTTCGTGAGATTGAGGCGGAGGTACCAGTGTCCTCTTTCGAGGTTGTCCAGGGGGCGGGTTTGTTGGAGGGGAGTGTATGTGCGGGTGGGGTTGAGGCGGGTGGAGAGCATTTTTAGGGTCGGGGTGATGTGGGTTGTGAAGGGGTTTGTTGATATGGGAGGTGGGTTTGGTTTGATTTCTAGGGGGAGGTGTAGGGTGATGTCTTTTAGTGTTTGGGGGGCGGCTTCTCTGGTGGTCTCGTTGTTTGGTGGGTTGAGGTTGTTGAGATGCTCGTCCGGGGGTGTTGTACCGATGGCTGGTGGAAGGGAGTCTAGACGACTTCGCTTCGTAGGTAGGTCATTCGTATCAGTCGATTTGCGACGAGGTGTTGGACTTGGTTGGGGAAGGGCAATCTCCTGCAAGTCGACTGGCTCCGGGGGAATTCGCTCAGGCTGAGAATCGGGAATGACACTCAGGGGGGTTCCGAGCGAGTCCTTGTCATGTCGACTTGGTCGCTGGGCTGGTGAGGCTGCTCCAGGGTCTGGAGGCTTGAGTGTAGAAGAGCTGGCATTGGGTTCTTCCTGGGTATAGGAGGGACCGGCTTCCGTTACAGCGGGGATGGCTTCGCTGTCATCAGATCGTAAGGTTATGAGCTGACGAGAGAAGGGTTGAAAAGCGAGGATCGCTTCGACTTGAGCGCGGTAGCCGGCATCATCTGCCACGGTGCTGGGGGCGGAGATGTGGACGAGCACTTCGGATTGTTGCATGGCATCGGAGGGGAGGTTGATAATGAGCCTGGACCGACATGGTGGGGCACTTGACTATCGGTGCAGACGTTTCAGTTTAGGCGGGACAAAGTGCCCTTTGCCCTGAGAGCAGAGAGGAACTATAGTAGCCTAGATTAGATGAAGGATGGAGTTGGAAGAGAGAACAATAGACAGTAAAGGCAAGAGGGGGAGAAAGAGCAGAGGGGAAAAGCACATGATAGGCGGAAGCATCGAAGATCACGAGTCAGGGCGGCCTGAGGCGCGATCCCGATTGGGTGGACTGGCGGCCTTAGGCTGCCGATCCGCTCGATAGTTTCCGCGCCGTCCAAACAACTTCTCCTCTTCACTGAGCTCAGACGGGTCTCTGCTCAACCTCGTCCTCCCTTAAGATCCTCCCTAATCTCGATCTGATCCGGCTTCTCGGGGAGCTTCGTCGGCGATGATTCGGTCTTTAATCTCAATTGGGCCCGTGGTCTGTTGGTACTTGGTAAGCTAACTACAAGTATCTTGGTTTGTGATCCTGTTCGGTGATCGTCGTCGTGCGCCTAGCCTCGGCTTATCATTGATGGATTGGGACAATAATCGTGGACAATTGAATAGTGGCCATGCTCAAGGGTGCCAGGACCACATCTTGGGTGATGTGATAATAATGGCGATTAGAGTCTATACCATTGACGAGCTATCTATCTTTTCCAAACCAAGGTGTTCGAGGCTTCGAGCCACCATTATCGCTACCCACCTGGCATTTTGACTCTAATTCGAACGTGTTTATCCAATAGCCGGAAGTGTCTTCCAGCCTTCAGAGAAATGACCGTGCACTACCCAATGGGTAGTACGGAGTACCCTTGGTGTTGGTTGGGGGGTGCTCTGTGCACTACGTATGGGCTCGCATGGTGGGAGAACCCCTCGGGGACCAGGAATTCAATGTTCACGAAACCTGCAGCAGACAAAGAGGGACAGAAAAAGCAAAGAGACCCCGGAAAGGGGCGATCCCGGTCAGTTACATCACCTCCATTTGCAGGGCGCGCGCGTGTGTGTGCACTATCCCATCTGTAGGTCTTATGCGGGAATAACGCGGTAGTTATGAGGTACAATGAAGCAACTCCGACACTTGATCAACGAGCGCGCAACCTGCTTACCTGTCCGGGCAAAGAGCGACGAAACGTCGACCGACTGGCACGATCACGATGGGATCGAGTGGCATCTTCGCCTCCTCTCCCTCCCCCCCTTACAGTGGAATAACCACCGCGGCAGGAGCAGGAAGGTGCATACATCCAATCATCCACTAAGCTCCGGATGTAGGTACCGCACCGAGATAGTGTCCACTTGACCACCTCGCAACCCGGCAGCTCGCGCATGCTTATTCCTAATGACGCAGCACAGCCGGAGCGTTGGGGACAGTAGATTTTCCTGTGCCTGCCACTAATGAATAATAAACGTATAGCGCTATCCTGGACCAGGCGACTAGTCCGAGGCTTCTGTGTGGGCAGTGGGGCTGATGGGCCCGTTGAACACGGACTGGTGAACCAGACAGGCCCTAAAAAAACGATTGTGGGTTTGCAAACGAAGAAAGTTAAGCCCAGAGCAGGATCGATACCCCCTCAAAGGAATCATGCAGTGTCTATGGGAATCCTGTGGATGGTCAGAAGGTGGAGGGAGAGCAAAAAAAAAGAAAAGAAGAGAAAAAAAAAAGCAAAAAGGGACAGGCTCGACGGTAGATCAACCAAGGAGAACCTGTTTTCCCAAACCCATCGGTCCGGGTCGCAGCGAAATTAAGTCAAGAATGTTACACACGGCGCCTGCCTCTATTCTGAGATGTCAATTGAGGGATGGCAAAGGTGGGTAGAAGGGCAGGACTTTTTGGGGGGGGGGGTGGTGGAAGTAGTCCACGGAGGCTGACGGAGCACTACTACCGGGCGACAGGCGACAGGTAAGAATGGTTTCTGGTACGACAGCCGGGGGGACAATCGATCGAACCGCCGGGCCAAAGAGATGCGCCATATATCAGATTCGTGAGCACTTTTCCTTTTATTTCTTTCCATCTCCTTTTCTAATCACTCCATTTTCTGACTTGCGTCCCTCTGATCCTCTGAGTGCATGAGGCTAGGACTGAGGTAGAATGGGAGAAGATTGTATAAAAAAAAATAGAAAGGAGGAAGTAAAAAATAATAAAGGTAATAATAAAACCACTTACAGTAGCACCTAATGGATCGGGACAGCAGAGAGACGAACCATTGCCGCGGATTTAGTGACGATGATGAGGAGGATGATGAGTACGGAAGTAGTAGCACGATTGATTATTGACGATGCAGCGAGGATCCCAATTCACAATTACTCGGAGGGGGGAGAGGCCAGCAGAGACAGGCAGACGTGAGGGGCGACGACGATTCAGAGGAGGATAAAAAAGAAAAAACCAATAGCCAATAACCGCCGAGTGACTGGATGCCTGGCCGATCACACCCGGTTAGTTGTTGTTGCTTCACTCCACACGGGCAGATGCTTTTCTTCTTATTCTCTGAGTTCTTTAGACAGGAACACGAATAGTGAATAATTGAATGATCACTCATTATCTGGTTTCTCACTTATGTAATGTTTTTTTTGTGTGAGAGGGATGGAGAGAGAGTATAGTGCAGTAAGGTTAAGCTGGTTGTGTAGCCCATCGAGTACTACATTAGCCGTAGTACTACTAATACTAAATACTAAAGCCGAGGCGAGATCGGGACAGCCAGAAAAGAGAGAGAGAAAGACAGAAGAGAGAAGAGAGAAGAGAGAAGGAGGGAGGGGGGGTGGAGGGAGAAGCTGCACTAGTCTGAAACGGGCCGGGGAATGTGTGAACTGTAAGGTACACCCTCTTTGCTGTCTCTCATTTTCTGACCTCTTTTTCTTTTTATTTTTTCCCCCTCTGCACTGCTGCTTTCTGTCCCTCTCTTTCTCTCTCTCTTTTTGGATGAGCATTTTTGGGGTATGATAATTATTATCATTATTATTTTATTCTTTCGACCATTCCCCTTTTCACTGTGAAGTTTAATTCCTTTTGATCTCTGTATGCTGTATGCTGCTGGATTTATTTTATTTTTCAACAATTAATAATCATGGTCGATATTTGATTTTCTTCGTGGTTATCACATTTATTCATTTAATCATTTTGGATTTTCTTTTCATTTCTTTTTTAGATTCTGCAAATTCACGATCAATTCTGTCACGGACCAATCCATTCCCTTCCCTCCTGTACAATTCCAATTAAAATCTGTGCCTGGATCTATTGTGACTACTAGTGGACGCCCCGGGTGCATGGCAGGCACCAACCACTACTAAGTTGATGCTGCTGCTACTACTACTACTACTACTACTACTACTAGACTGTAACTAACTAACTAACTAACGCCGTGTGCCTGGCCTTTGCGCCGACCGCTGGGAGTGTCTCTGCTGGGTCCGTGAAGAAAAAGGGAAGGGAGATGCACGCAACGAGCCAATAATGCTCGGGACCGCTAGAAGGCTTGACAGGGTCTCCCCCGTCGATATAACGCCGGCTCGCCTACGGATGACCAACTTAACTTCGGGTCCCGAACGAGTCGATACTTACTACTTACTATCGTCGCTCTCCATTCATCCAAACCGAAACTAGTCGACTATCCAGGACAGTAGTGGGTGTCCACTCACTCACTCACTCACTCTTCTCTTTTCACTCTTTTTCACACACACACTCTCTCTTTCACTGACTTGCCACAAGAGTATTATTCTGTCTCTTTCTTCTCTTCCCTCTTCCTCCTCTTTCTTCCTCTTCTTCCTCTCACTTCTTCCCTCCCTCTCCCTCTCCCTCTCACTCTCTCCACTCACCCTCATACTATCTATCTATCTACTCTTTCCATTTCCTCCTCCACCATCTCTCCCCCTTTCAACCTGCAGCTTCAAGTCTCAACTGAAACTCGCCCTTTTCTGACACACCCCATACTTCCATCCAATCCATCCGTCAACTCCCGCCCACCACTCCCGCCGCACCCACTTTCTCCTCTCTCCTACCTTACCTTACTTACCTACTACCACTACCACTACCAAGAAACCACAAATCAACATACCAAACTCAACTTAAACATTTATCCACCTTTGAACCCACGGACGGTAAACGGGCAACCGGGCAAACCTTCCAATTAATCAATTAATCGATATTATTGCCTGACCGTTTTCCCACACCCCGCCAGCCTATTTCCCATCTGCTCCATTCAGATCTCTCCTTTTCCCCTGGTCCAGAGCTCGTGTGGTGGCTCCCCCCCTCCCCCCCCCCCCCCCCAAACTCAGGTCCCCATCGGCCGCGCACTTTCGGGGAAAACGTCCGACCCTGCCGGTGCGTATATCTTGTTCCCCAACGGTGAAAGACGCTTGGACTGGAAAAAAAAATAGAGGAATCCACTTGACTACCAAATCAAAATCCATTTTAAGGCTGACAACGGTCCAGATTGATTGATTGATTGAATGAATCTCGCTTTCATTTAATCTGCTGTCGGTTCCTCCTCCTCCACCGTCTAGTCCCATCGAATCCTTTCTCTCTCTCTCGCCCTCTTCGCTTCCCCTCATTCTTCCCGCCTCCGTCCTCCGCTTCGTCGGTGTCCTCCGTCGGCCATCTTCTGATCGCGCCGGTCGCATTTCTCCCAATCACCCTCTTTCTACCTCATCACAGCCATCATGACTTCCATAAATGGTGGTCCGATGTCTGTGGACCTGAGTGCGGGCAATCGCCAAACCATGACACCAGAGGCTATGCCAAGTAAGTTCCCGGCTTCCTTTGCCCTGGAGACCTCGCATTGCTTGTATACCTGTGGTGATACGATTGGCGCCCGTTTTCATTTCATTTTATTTTTTTTTGGGGGGGGGGGAACATGTGTGTTGGATACACAGAGCATCCCGGATGGGGGAAAGGCTGCAGTCGGCACCGTTCGCTTGTAACCTACCGTTTCTTGATTCTGTCATCTGCACTGCCTGCATGTTGTATGACGTGATGTGCTGTACCTACATGTCTTTCCTCATTTCGTGATATTCTGTTGCTTGTTGTGTCTTGCATCGCTTTGCTGCGGAGAGGATCCCGTCAATTGCCCGCTCTGACACTGCATGCAGGCCAACCCAATTCCAGACCCTCGACAATCGGGGCCGACTTTTTCAAGTTCTTCAGCGGCACACAGAAGAAGGTTACTCGAGGTTTGTACTACTCTGTGTTCTCTCTTGTCCGCACTCGTTGTAACCGACTCCCTTCTAGATGGTCAACCGGCCAAACGACGTGGTCCCAAACCCGACAGCAAACCCGCCCTTACCAGACGACAGGAATTGAATCGCCAGGCTCAGAGGTACGTGGCTCTCCCGTCTCTGCATTTTATCTAGGAACAGATGCCAACGACTGTTTAGAACTCATCGCGAGCGCAAGGAACAATATATACGGGCGTTGGAAACGGAGGTGTCGCGGTTGCGAGAGGCATACACACAGGAGATTTCGGCGGCCAACTTGACGGTGGTTCAACACCGGGATATGGTGCAGTCGCTATCGGACGAGAACACCATCCTGAAAGACATCCTCACGGCCCATGGCATCAACTACGAACCCGAGCTCGAGCGGCGCAAGGCTGAACGACCCACGATCGGCTATCAGTCTAGCCCATTTGCCAGCAGTAGCACGGGATCGCAGCCCACCGGCGTTGCTCCTTCCAATCCCTCAACGAACAACATGTACACCACACCCCCGACCACCGTCTCCGCAAGCTTGAGTCCGATCACCACGGGGATCGAGCAGATTGATGTGTCGTCGAGCGAGATGTCACCACCGCAAGGGCCGTATCAGGCTGCCCCGTGTGACGCCCTCGCGACGCTCGACCAGATCGCGCCGGTGAGCCGGGCACCGAGGCACCCATCGGGCATCTTTGAGGAGCACCCCCAGCTGCAGATTGACTTTATCTTGACGTACGCCCACCAACTCTTTGTCTACCGGAGGATTGTATGACTGACTGCTGTCTAGATTGGAATCGCCGTGTCGCGAACATACCGACTATCTCTGCCGCCGATCGATCACGGAAGCCGATGACGAGGACATGCCATTCTCGGGTCATGCCTTGATGGCGACCTGCCCGCCGCCCAGTTACATCGCCACCACCTCGAATGAACAGACTTATCCGCACAAGACCTACGACCTCCCTCACGCCAATCTGTCGACCCTTCTCAACCTCAGTCGGCAGCTCGTGACGGACGGACAGATCACGCCTATCATGGCGCTGCAGTGTTTGAAGAACCACGAGCTCTACCGCAGCCTGACCAAGGACGACGTCAAAGTGATCATCGAGACGCTGAACACCAAAGTGCGCTGCTACGGCTTTGGCGCGGTGGTGGAAGATTTCGAATTGATGGACTGCCTGAGCAGTGTTCTCGGAGCCAAGGTCGAGGGCGCCCTTTCCCATCCCGGCGATGAGATGATGTATTCGTGAGCTGATGGCAGAAGCGGGCGATCTGGATGGAGTTAATGAGGTGATTATTTGGGTTTGGGTACTGTTCTAACAGGGTTTGCTTTGGCGAGGTGTATATAAAAGCTCTGGGAGCAAGGCTGTTCTTTTCTTCTGATTCTCTTCTTCCTGTGGGGTTTAACCGCCAGAGCGCACTGGCCATACAACTTGTTAATTTTGAGTGTCTTCTTCCTTCCTTTTCTATCAGTGTTGGATCTTGCCCAGTTGATTTAAGCTATACCACCCATTAATCAATAATCACGAGAACCACGATGCTACTACCAATAACACATATATATATACACCAACCCACCATATATCTTCAATCCCACAATAAACATAAAACATAACATAACAATCACACAGAAATAGTAGTACCTCCCCTAATCCTCCCCACCACCTCCCTCACCCTCTCCCACTCCCCATCCCTCAACACCCTCCACACCCTCTCCAACTCATCAGCCTCCTCTTCTCCCAAACTCTCCCCATTTTCCAATCTCTCAATCAGTAAACCCCCGTCCTCTAACACATTACCCTCACCCATTAAATCCTCATGATTCTCATGATTATGTTCATGATCATATTCATATTCATGATCATTAATCTGCTGTCGTAGCCGATTCACCTCCCCCCTCAACTCCGCAATCATCTCCGCTTGCGCAATCGCCTGCCTGTCTTCATCCGGCACGGCGTATTTACATTCGTGCGCGATGTTCCGCGCACTGCATGTTTCGCATGGTTGGAGGCGGTTGCACTGGTTGCCATCCCCCCGGGAGGGGGGGGGTGGGGGGATTGGTTAGATTGAATGGATGGGATGGATGGGGAGGGGGAGGGATGTACCTTGACTTTTCGGGTTCGGCATGGGAGGCAGGATGCCGTAGGGCGGGATTTGGGACGGTGGGGGAGGGGGGTGGGCATTATTCTTTTTTTGGCTTCTTTTGTTTGGAGGGGGGTGTGGATGTTGGGTGAAGTAAGTGAGTGATTGTTGGAGGTGGATTAATTAAATGATTAGAATTTAGTGGGTTAGTTAAGTTAGTAGTCAATGGACGGGAATGAGTAATCTAACCTTGTTTGGTTTGGTTTGGTGGCGTGGTGTGGTGTGGCTTTGGTACTGGTTCTAACTATGGTATGAATAAATGAATAGGTTGTCTAAAGTGAATTGAATGGTTTGTAGTATTTATGCAATTGGTTCAGATATATTGATTTGGAATTGATGTTGATATTTGTATATAGTATATATGGTTTGTAAGGTTGTTGTACTATGTCAGTTGTTGGAATTTGGTGAAGTTGTCAAACTATAACTCTAATCTCTATTTGTAGTTAAGTTGTGGAATGTGGTGACTAGTGGTATGGTATATGGAGGGAGTCAATAATGTGTCATATTCTCCTTTTAAGGTATATACCTGCTACTTTCACAATAAGTTATTTCATTCCACCCAACTCCCCTTGATTTCCATCACACCCTAATCTACCATCCCATCCAATACATCAACCCAGCATGCTATGCCATGCCATCAAAAAACCAACCTCCCCTCCCCCCTCCTACCCCTCCAATAATCCGTACTCCTCCTCAACCCCCCCCCAACCCCATCACCACCCACCTCCACTTCCCCAAAAACGCCTCGGTGACCTCCCAATTGCACGGATCCCACGGCACGCCCCACACCACCAACGTCGCCCCCGAGTTGCGGGTATCCCAAAACGCCATGAGATCCCGACACAGCTCGTCCTCATCCAGGTAGCCCGTCGCTGCCGCGACAATCAATCTGTCCCGCATCTCGGGGAACGGGAAGAAGTCCAGCCAGGGGTGGTGCGGGATGAGGCGTTGGAGGGGCGTGGGGCGGAGACTTTCCGGGAGGGTGGAGATATCGATGAGGGATGGGGTGTTGGTGTTGAAGATTGAGAGGGCGTCGTCGGGTCGGAGGTGCGCGGGTGTCATGCCCAGTAAGCGGATGTTGTCGTTGATGGCTCGGTGGACGTTGAGCCGGGAGAGACTCAGCAGGTGTTCGAGACGGGGGCTGTTGGTTAGGTAGCTTTGGATGGCGAGGGTGGTGAGGGTTTCGTGGACGTGGGGGATGTTGATGGTGGTGGGGGCGAGGGGGCAGTGGTGATTATCTTCTTCTTTTTCTTCTTCTGGGGCTTTGTTTGGTGGTGATGATGTGGGGTGGTGGTGGTGGTGGTGGTGGTGGTGGATTAGGGTTTGGGTTTGAGTGGTGGATGTAGATGAGGATGAGGAGGAGGAATCCCCCGTAGTGGCTTTATGTTTCTTGCCTGGTTGATATGGTCAGATTAATAACCAACACTTGGGTTGGAGGAAGACATACGATAAGCCCGTTGATTCAACCGATTCTGCAGCCGACGACGGTGGATTTGATCGCTGACCCCCGTCCAATCGTCTTCAGGCGTCCAGAGATGTTCTAGCTGAGGCATCGGCCGGAGCGTCACAGTGTTTGATGTTGATGATGAAGGAGCTATCGGATCCATTTGGGGTGGTGGTTCGTGTCGAGACATGATGTGGGTTAGATTGGTTATTGGTGGATGCAAGTTGCTGACACGGCGGAGCTGCAGGCTTATTTATGCAGGGCTAGTCTACCAGTAGTTGACCCACTCGGGGAACGGTGATTCTTCGGTCTGAACGTTAATTTCTAGGCTGAAGTTCTGGAAATGTTGTTCTGATAGATAAGCCTGGGACGGTGGGGCATTCGTTTTCATGGATCGGGATTGATAGTTGTGGCGATTATTTTGTTCGAAGCGGGAAACTTAGAATCACTAAAAGTCTACTTATTTTGTTCCATACACATAGCTGTGTAACTATCGGTATATATGATTATTGACTTCTCTAGAGAGAGGAGGTTCGTCCTGTTTAGCCACTCTTCTCCTCCCACAACAACAGCGCCAAACAATAGCAATGATCATACCAAGAAGCAACCCCCCTCCAATACCAGCAGCCAGTCCAATAACCAGCGGTTCATATCCCCCTAACGGACGGCGGTCCTCACTACCTTCGCAGCGTCCACCTTGGCAACGCCCACTGCCACTATCGCATTGCGAGCCGTTTACCAATCGGCAGTTAACGCAGCAGGAATTGGAATTGTCCGCGCAGTTCTCACCGCAATCGCACTCCTCGCCGTCCTCGACGACAATGCCATTGCCGCACTCACCAGCAGGGGTACTTGGACCACTGATCGTGGGTCCGGTATCATTACTGCGCACGAGGCAGTCATCTTCTACCCTGCCAGAGCGAAGCAAGGAGCACACTTGTCCAACAGTGCAGGGCGAAAAGGACGTCTGATAGGACGTGGAAGATGGGTTCATGATATACTGTCCGCCGGCGTCGCAAGAGCTCGAAGACAAGGGGCAGCAATCCCCATTCGAAGTGGAGCAGGTCTGAGAGTCGCAGTCATGGGTCGCGCCGAACATGTGGCCGGATTCGTGGCTACACCCATATAACATAATCAGTATGGTCCAAAAAGTAGGATTGGTTAAGGGACGTACGCAAAAACCTGCCATTGATTGGAAGTCCGCGCCACTACATTTGCCCCGGAGTAAGTAGTGCAGAGCCCTCCCACGATGGACACACCCACCACGTTCCCGGTGGGACAGTTGGTCATCAGAGTCCAGTAGGCATTGGGGTCGTAATGCCAGCGTCGCCATGAGGCAAATTGCTGGAGTCGCCAGTCCAGATTCCCACTGGAGCAGCCGACATTCCATGGGGTGTCTCGCTGGGGTGTGTCGGGACATGACTCGTCGCTGATGGTGATGTTGCGGATGGCGAGTGAGATGTTCCATGTCCTTTCGTAGACCTCTGATGCGGTGTTCACCATGCTGATTAGTCCTCGGCGGAGCTCATCTGTGGATGAGAATGCGGCGCGGTAAGAGCAATCTGTGGCGAGTCCAATCAAAGCGACTCTCCGGGGCCGGGAGCATGTGTTGTCTTGGGTGGATTGGCGGGGGAAGACTGTGTTCTGAGACAGTGTGCCTATAGCATCTCCAGATGTGCTGATTTCCATGTGCGGAAAGGAGGAATTGGTCTGCGTGGCTAGGTTGATGTGATATTGTTGATCGAACAGCGTGAAGGCTCCGTCGAACAGCGGGCTTGTCCCATCCTGGATGAGATATATGCGTGCTCGTCCTGCCGGATGCCATGCAGTGCTGGAAGAATTTACCACGACGTCGCCCCGAAACACTCTTTCCCTGTCTCGATCGAGTGATTGGGGTTCCGTGCCGTTCAGATACTCGATATAAGTATCTGGGGCAAGAATATCCCGGTTCGGTTCCAATTGCAGCCGCACCGGGCCACCATGTCCAGGAACCCCTATAGTAATGTCCAGTTGGCCCTTGACCGAAGTAGTCCGGGATTGGGGGTGAAACACGACCTGCTCGAGTCGGGCTGCATATTCTGTGGCTGGGTTTCGAACCGAATGGCCTAGTAATGTAAGGATGATTCTCACTAGTAGGGTTAAATACATGTCATACCTAGAAAATTTCGAATTAAACTGAATGTGCACACCACCGAAGGAACATCACAGAAGATCCTCATGGCAGCTTTGTACTTCGATGCAGATCGAATGTATTAAGCCGCCCATGATGCGCTGCTTCTTTCATGATCCGTATATATACTCCATAATGAAGAGCCCTACCAGTAAACACACAGACATAAACATCGTAATGGGCTATACACATCATATCTAGGCAACAGAATACTCATCCTAAAGCAATAGATAGATGGTAGAGGCTGAGCTGCTATCTCCGACGCACGATCCGGAATGAGGTCAGTCCAGTAACCCAGGACTCCACCGCCATAAGCAGCACCCATTAGAGCTCATGATGCACTGCCACATAAGGGACATTTGTAATCATCCGACTCGAACCAGCATCCGGATGCAGATCGTGATGATGTCGACAGCATAGTCGTGAGAGAGAAGACCGAATGTGTTGCGTGGATGTGTATTCAGCCAAGCGTGCCAAGATCAATTGGGACTTCACTGGGCAGTGCTAGCCTTACAAAATGATGTTGCCTGAAATTCCAAGTCATTCTAGAAGACACACCCTGAATGAAGAAGTTGTGAGAGACAGACACAAACACGGACAGCGGAAGAAGATAAACTTGGCTGCTATCCGGCACTAATGCATCTTGCTTACGCCAAGCCAGACCCGCTCTTCACCAATCCA